TATATATATATATATATATATATATATATATATATATATATATATATATATAAGTGACAAAGTAATGTGATTGTTGGGGCAAATAATATATACGTGGGGTTAAGCTCCAAGTAAAGGTTGAAGTGCATCCATCAATATAAATGCGATGTTAAACATAAACATTTTGATGGTAGGAGACTTTGAATTGGGATATATTGCATGTAACGTAATTTTCACAAATAATAAAAGTATCATAAGAATCGTATATATAAAATAACGTCAATTACCATTTATACATTTATGACATGAATGTTATCGACGTGGACTTTTTTCCTTCCTATGCATTTCTTCAAGTAGTAAAGACGACATTGAACTTACTTTTTTTAAACATTTTAATTTGTACTTATTTTGTTTAAGAGTAAAATTTTGAAGATTAAACCATATAAGTTTGTGCATAGTGGTTAAGGTCCTGGACAAAATATCTCATCTATGTAGGGTTTGATACCCGATGTACAAAATATTTGTGACTATTGAATTTATTATGGCTAAATTTTTATAGTCAAAATTTACCGAAATTAGTTCAGGCATAACCTGAAACACCCTTACAATTTTTTTAAAAGATTATTATGCTTCGTCAAGAACATCATAAACTAGACTTCTCACCTTTGTCTTGTGTCATCATTTAAATATACATGTATATGCAAAGTATTAGTGACATAGTGTTATATAAGAAAGTTCAAATACAAACTCAATTTTCATTATAAACATGAGTACCTTTCTAGTATGTTTATATGTGTTAAACCATAACCTGCGACCTTCATTTTAACTAAACATATGTGAATCACACGGGTTCATATGTGAATCAGTTAAATATTTAATATGTGAATCACATGGATTCACATATGCACTTGTTTGTCGTCTATTTGTAAAAGTTACAAAAAACTACTCCTTTTATTTTTTTCCATAGTTGTTACCATGCCGCCAAGGGCTAATGTCACTTCTTTATTTTTAAAAATATTTACAATTTCTCAAATGAACTTATAGCTATATATATATATATATATATATATATATATACTAGAAGCGTACTCGCGCAATGCAGCGAGATACATCGTATTTTTAATATTTCATTTTATTCTTTATCTCAGTCGATGTTATAATATGGCTTTATGTGATTTTGAGAAAGCGATGATGTTTTTATTTTTGAATAAAAT